CCACTTAACAGATTTCCTTTCATATCCTGTCCTGGGGATACAATACCTAGACTTGTAATAATAGGAAACAAGAAGCGCCCAATGTCCAAAAGAATGCACTTTTGCTGGTAGATTAAGAGGCATTTATTGAGAATAAGGACAAGTACATCAAACCAATGCATTTTGGGAGGAAAAGCTCTTCCTTCTTCAGGGCTATTAAACGGGAAAGATTCCCATGATGGTTATATATTTTGCAGATTTTGGAGGAAAAACTAACAGTGTGACCGCTGTTTTTTCAGGAGCAGCAATGATTCACTTAAAAAGGTGTTGTGTAAGTTTATTTATTTTAATTTTTTTCAAGCTGTTCCCTGCTGAATGTTGGACAGCAATAAACAGATTTTGTATATCTATTCTAGTCAGGTCCTGAATGTATCCCAAAAATCTGTTAAAATAACATACAAAAACTTTCTGATAATTGCACAGAATAGGTATTTGCCAACGATCAACTTGAACTGGTCACCAGAGATAAATTAGCTGTAAGCAAGACAGCTCACTATAAAAACATGCTTAAAGAGGATCTTCACCCTAGGAACCAAACATTTTAAGTCAGCAGCTACAAATACTGTACCTGCTGAGTTTTAACAAAAGGGCACTTACATGTCCAAGGATCCAGCGCCATCCTCACCCGTGCCAGCTCTTCACCAGTCTTCGGGTCCCTGGTGCCAGCCTCTTTAGTGTGAAAAACCGGTTGTGATTTTTTGTGGCTTCACAGCTGGCTTCCCAATGCCTTTCTGCCTTTTGTGTATGGTCTTGCATGTGGGCAGGTGCAGTCTGTTTTCTCTGCTGTGGGTGGCTGGTACCACAGTTGAAGAGGACGTCAGGAGAAACATGGTTTCTCTATGGTTTCCTGGGTTGGATGTCCACCCCCATGTGATTCTGGTGGCCATCTTTACTGAGGGCTTACAAAAAGTCCTGGCTCACTGCACTTGCCTGCATTTTGCAAGTAGATAGTGTAGGGCGAGCGATCCCTCCTGACAGGGAAAGTGATCAGTGGCAGGGAAAGATTCCAGACAATTAGGGCTAGGCTTGGGCCTTGCTATCCTGCTAGGAAGCCTCCCCTTTTGGGACTGGACAAGCCAGGCCATGCTCCACCCTCTGAAACAGATGCTGTTGGTGCATCTCCTCCTGCTGCATCTCTGCATTGAACAGAATGGTGAGTGTTTCCCTAAGTGATGCTCTCTTGATGGGGTGTTTGTAGTTTGGTATTCTCTTTACATTGCAACCAGATTCTGTCTCCTTACTGCCACTTCATCACACTGCACCTCCCCACACGCAGCCTGCTGGGACCTGCAATGTGTCCAAAGAGGCTTCGGGCAGTGAGGGGGAGGGGCAAACCTCTGCTTGGATCACCTAGGCAATATAAGCAGAAGTAGGAGCGTGAATCTCCCAAAACCAGGTAATTGCTCCCCCCCAAAACAATTAATGTGGTAAAAGTTGGGGGTGGGGGCAGAAAAGAAAAGAACTTTAAAGTACAGAACATAAAATAGCTTACATTATCACCATGGCGATGCGAACATCAATTTATGACACATTTTCCAGTACACAAGCCAGTGCTGAAAAGCCACTTGTATATATAAACCCATCAGAAGATTAAATGAACTTCCTTAATTTAGCAAATGTGTAATGTTCCCAGGCATAGCTTGCACAGTTCATGATTCAGTTGATGTTTAGAGGAAACTACTGGTTTCTCGGATTTTTTATTGTAGTACAATTTCTTGAATTTTTTTTTTTTTTGATTAGGGCTTCTTATAATAATGCTCATGTGATTAAAACAGATTCCATTCTCCTACATGTAGAGGAGACAGAATAACATTGAAAGACGCTGTGTCTGAAGGGGCAGTGAGATCAATCAAGAAGAAAAGTAAAGCCGTGGCCCATTATTCATTTCTTAATGACAGTTAGCAGAAAGCTGCAATGTTTCGATAAATGAGGCAAGTGGACGGTTACAGTCCAAGAGCCTTATTCCTTGTGAATTGAAACACACTGCTGAACTGAGCTCCTCAATGAAAATGCTAATTCCTCATGATTAATATCTTGTATCTTTTTTGTCAATATGCATATTAAATAACTTTCTTTAGAGTTTAATTGTAAGTTGTGCTTCTGTTTTACTCTTGGGAAAACTTGGGAAAAAAACTAAACGTGAGAGGCCTGAATTGAAACATCTATTCATAGTTCTTTTTCTTTTCTTTTTGTTTTAGATTACGTTTTGGTGCATTTTCCCACCATGTTTCAGCTGTCAGTTGAGGGACATTTGGTTTCCGTTCTATAGTAAAGAACAGCAAAGGGAATAAAAGTGTACAAAGCTAAGAGGGCTTGAAATGTATTTGGCACCGTTATGAAAAAATGGTCAATCAATACAAAGTTGTCAGAACACAAACAATGAGTTTTATTGGTATGGGTCCAACATTTTAAAAGTCAAGTGGTGAGATTCAGTTGAGCAATATGAATTTATTGCTTTGGATAGATAGATAGATAGATAGATAGATAGATAGATAGATAGATAGATAGATAGATATTAAGAAGTAGAGATTTTAGACTGCATTTAAATGAAATCCAGGCACCATAATAAAATTCAAAGAATCCAGGCATGTATTCATTAAAATTTTTGAAATTCTACTAAATTGCCTTTTTTGACCTGGTTTACCACCTTGTAATCCCCTATAATAAAATTTGGACATGGAGAAGGACATTCAGCACTCAGAGATAATAATGTGTTGACAAGAAATGTATTAACAGGAGGAGAGTGTAGACTGATAACCTTAACAGTCTGCTTGCGTCCTTTACTGTCCCATCACAGGCTGGGGGTAGGGAGGTTACATAGTTAGTCTGGTTGAAAAAACACCAAAGTCCATCTAGTTCAACCAATAAAAAGAAAAAAAAATGTGTACAATCCTATATACACAATCCTATATCCACAGCTGATCCAGAGGAAGGCAAAAAAAAACCCTCTCAGCAAAGCATGATCCATTTTTCTCCATCAGGGGAAAAAAATAATTCCTGATTCCCCAAGAGGCAATCAGATATTCCCTGGATCCTATAAACATTAGTATTCAGTTATATTATGAGCATTTAGGAAAAGAATACAGGCCTTTTTTATAGGTGACCAGACTTTGTTGTTTAAGTATGACCAAAGCACTTAAGCCAGCCATAGATGGAGCGATTTTCTTTCTGGCGACCATGGGTTGCCAGAAAGAAAATCGCTTGTTTCCCTCATCAACACTGACTGTGCTGATGTGTGACTCTCTCCCATGGAGCCACTGTGTTCTCTTGGCGAGAGTTGGAGGAAGCCATCCCTGCCAGGAGAACACAGTGAATACTGCTAGCTGCTATAATAGCCATTAGCAATAATCACATGTAAAATACGGCAGGCTGGTTGTACCCAAGTTCATTGGTCGATCAACTTGGGTACATTCAGCCTGCCCATAAATGGATCGAATCTCAACCCATTCAGCAGGAAGAAGTTCCCTATACTAGCTATAATTTTTTTAAATCAGCATGGCCGTGTTGGGCTCTGCACACAAGGCCGCGTCATTCATTTACAGAGGTCTATGAATTAATGAACTACAAGTAGCAACATCCTTTGTGGATGTCTGCTTGTAGTTCTCAATGAAGTACCATGGTGCTGTGGAGCACTGTGATTGTTCAGTCAGTCTTCCTGTCAGTGTTAAACTGTCGGCATGTATGAGGTATGAGCACACAGATTAAACTGACAGTCTGCTGGAGACCTGCATGGCACCAGGGATCTGCTGATAGCTTGTACAATGCTTTACAAGCTCAAAGAAATAAATGCACTCTTTTTTTACCTGCAAAAAATGTGCATTTATTTATTTATGTTTAAGTTTATGTGTTGTTTAATGTCTAGAATGGCTCTGGAAATCACTAGACTGTGAAGATATTTTGGCAATAAAACAGTTTTCTATATTTGCATTTGGCTCAAGCTTAGCTTTAACATATAAGTGACCCTGTAGCTAAAAGAAGGTGGTCTAGCTAACCCACCTCTATCGAAAACTAAGACAAAAAAAGTTTGGGATGTACTTTCAATAAAAAGTCCATTTATAATGATATTATTTTTTAAGATTGTATTTTGAACTATTTCCCCACCTTTTTTTAGATGCATTTTATTGAGATGCTGGAGCAGAATTAGAAGATACAAGTCATAGAAGGCTTGAAAGACGTTTGGTACAATTATTAAATTGATGGTTACTGTATGAATGGTTGTTAGGTTGCAGACAGTGCATTTTATAGTTTCCAAGCATTTATCTCAAGTGGTGATTTTTGTAGTGTGACAGTGTTCCAGAAGTGTGGAAAAGATTGCCAAGGCCAAGCATAATTGCTCATTCGAATGCCATAAGCTGTTGACATATAAAGATACAAAAACTGTTAAAACATTTTTTTATCTGAACAAAATGTGACTGTTATAAAATCATGATGTGCCTTGCACAGGCAATTAAAAAGGCACATTCACACCATGTGTGGTGGCCTGTGTACATCTTCAACTGTTTCCCATCACAATGTTACTTTGAAGTGGGTTGCAGTGCATTGCATAAAAATGCAGACATGCTGTATTATTTTGAGCCGCACCACATCTCACTTCATGCCTGTACATAGAGATGAATGAAAAGTCATTTTGTGACAATTCACAAAATAAAGTTTACAAAAGAAAGAAACAAGAAGGTAAACTACCCCTCAGTGTTGCTGAACAACAGACACCAGCCCACAAAAGCTCCCGGGTGTGAATGAGCCCTTAATTATTATTATTGTTATACAGGATTTATATAGCACCAACAGTTTACCCAGCACTTTACAACAAAGGCAGACAGTACAATTACAATACAAATGAATACAGGAGGATTTAGAGAGCCCTGCTCATTAGATATCTACCGTATTTTTCGCTCAATAAGACACACTTTTTCCCCCCCAAAAAATGGGGGAAAATGTCTGTGTGTCTTATGGAGCAAATATCGTAGGCCGTCCTGGTATTCCCCCCCGTGTTAGAATACCAGGCCGGTTGCTTGGCTATTCTTTGCAGACCTCCGGCGGTCCTACCCGTTCCATGGTCTAGCGGTGTCCTCAGTCTTCTCTCCCCAGTGCCGGCATGGGCACACCGGCTGTGACAGCTTGCGGCTTCTGGTTATCCCCTGTACCGTGTCCGCAGTCTCTGGGGATCCCCTGTACCGTGTCCGCAGTCTCTGGTCATCTCCTGTACCGTGTCCACAGTCTCTGGTCATCCCCTGTACTGTGTCCGCAGTCTCTGGTCATCTCATGTGCCGTGTCCACAGTCTCTGGTCATCCCCTGTACTGTGTCCGCAGTCTCTGGTCATTCCCTGTACCGTGTCTGCAGCCTCTGGACGTCCCCTGTACTGTGTCCGCAGTCTCTGGTCATCTCCTGTACCATGTCCGCAGTCTCTGGTCATCTCCTGTACTATGTCTGCAGTCTCTAGTCATCTCCTGTACCATGTCCGCAGTCTCTGATCATCTCCTGTACCATGTCTGCAGTCTCTGGTCATCTCCTGTACCGCGTCCGCAGTCTCTGATCATCTCCTGTAGTATGTTTGCAGTCTCTGGTCATCTCCTGTACTGTGTCTGCAGTCTCTAGTCATCTCCTGTACCATGTCCGCAGTCTCTGATCATCTCCTGTACCATGTCTGCAGTCTCTGGTCATCTCCTGTACCGCGTCCGCAGTCTCTGATCATCTCCTGTAGTATGTTTGCAGTCTCTGGTCATCTCCTGTACCATGTCCGCAGTCTCTGGTCATCCCCTGTAGTATGTCCGCAGTCTCTGGTCATCTCCTGTACTGTGTCTGCAGTCTCTGGTCATCTCCTGTACTATGACCGCAGTCTCTGGTCATCTCCTGTAGTATATCTGCAGTCTCTGGTCTTCTCCTGTACTATGTCCGCAGTCTCTGGTCATCTCCTGTACTATGCCCACAGTCTCTGGTCATCTCCTATAGTATGTCTGCAGTCTATGGTCATCTTCTGTACTATGTCTGCAGTCTCTGGTCATCTCCTGTACTATGTTCGCAGTCTATGGTCATCTCCTGTACTATGTCTGCAGTCTCTGGTCATCTCCTGTACTATGTCTGCAGTCCATTGGTTCAGAATATTTTTTTTCCTGTTTTCCACCTACGGTACGGTAATTATCAATCTAATAACAATTACAATCTAAGAGGGAGGGTCGAAAGATACAAAAGGTAATAACTGTGGGGAATGGGCTGATGGACAAAATACATGTACAGTTGTTAGATGGGGGCAGAGTAGGCCTCTTTGAAGAGATGAGTTTTCATGGATCATCTAAAAGTGGACAGAGATCAAGATAGTTGGACATATTGGAGAAGGGAATTCCAGAGGATGGGAGATGCTCTGGAAAAATCCTGGAGGCAAGCATGGGAGGAGGTGACAAGGGAGCTAGAGTGCAGGAGGTCTTGGGAGGAATGAAGAGAAGATTTGGTTGGTATTTTGAGACCAGGTTAGTGATGTAACTAGCGGCTGAGTTGTGGATGGCTTTATAAATTGTTGTAAGTATCTTGAATTTTATTCATTGGGTGAGTGGAAGCCAGTGGATGGACTGACAGAGAGGGGTGGCAGACACTGAATGGTTGGTAAGGTGGATGAGTCTGACAATGAAGCAATCGTTTTGTGTTCACCTTAGAAAACAAAATTTCTACATACTGTACAAATTATTTTTTTTCTCTACAGTTTTTCTCCCATTCTGATGTGAGTGTTGAGTCAAATATTAAAATTAGGCTTTGGATCTCCTTATATGTTCTGCTCTCCGATGTGTGTGGTGTGCTGTGAACAGTTACAATCACATTATGGTGATTACAACCATTAGTTCTTGACACACAGGTGTTCATTTATAATAAGCAATGGATATCTATATCCGCTCCCCATAATACACTGCAGGGTTCTGCATACTGTGGGCTGCATTTTATGGCCCATTAATAAAATGCAAACCTTGTTGTGGAACTGCCGGAGCACCGTGGAGCTCTCTCAGCTTATCAATGTCATGATTGGAGAAGAGCAAGTCATGTCACTTTTTCAGTTTTTGAGTTTCATTAATCTTCATTGTGCTTTGATTGGTTTCAATACCAATGGAGCGCAATGTATTTTTGTAAAGCACATCATTGTGCTCTGCAAGCTGTTTTTTTTTTATTTTAAACAGCAGCAGTATGACCCTGGTACAGTCATATCACTGCTTTTCTATTACCCCCCCCCCCCCCCCCCATCGTTCTTTGCTCAAATGCACACAAATTCACATATATTGCAATACATGTTTCAGCTGGCTAACTGTGTCAAATTAATCCCTCCTGTCCAGTCCCTAACCTGCTCCACAACATGGAAAGGCTGCGGTGGACATAATGCCAACATGGGGCAAACAGACTTAAATCTCAGATCTGAACCTAGTGGCTCCCCTCCAATTTGTGTCTGTTTGCCTAATTGTGTCCCCTGATACATTTTCATTTTGCAAAGCAGGCTAGGGACTGGCCATGGAGGAATTACTTTAATTCAGTTGGCCAGCTTAAACATGTATTGCAATGTATGTGTGAACTAAAATCAGCATTTTTCTATTGCAAAGTTTGCTAGAAAGGGTATATAGCAGTGTGCAGTGTGAGAGAAAATTCCTTTGTGTACAGAACACCCATTGTAGACAGTAGACTAGAAGGGAACAGCAAAAGAGCAATAATGAAAAGAGTGAAAATGAAAACTGTATAGCAAATATGTGAATAATTAGAGAATGTAACAGGAATACATTTCCCAGATGTAGACAGTTTGCCTGGGGCACAGGAATGATATTGGTCCCCCACAGGAGGTGAAATAATGTGAACTGGTAAAAGAGTTCTTTTGGGCCCCTTACTGGTCTGCAGTCAGGAGTCAGTGTTAGGGAGGTAACCAAAAAATGCAGGCCATTGTGAGTGGAGCCCACAAATGTGTAGATATCTGCTATTCATTTAGCTTTCATTTGTCTTTTGGAGATTTGGATTTATCTGAACCTCTAAATCGACACATTTACGAATGGTAACGAATCTGAAAAAAAAGTTACAACAAAATGAACACATGCAGTTTCAGTTGGATGAAGTCACATCATGTGATAGTAGTTCAGGCCCATGGGGAAATCAATAAAAATTTTCAAATCCATTTGATAATTAAGATTCAGATAACGAATAGATCTGAATTTTGTTCCATTTGTTTTTTTCAGATGCAAATGACATCAATATTGTCCAATCAGCTCATGCCATTTCTCTTGGTGGGCTGGACTTGCGTCCAAAAATATTGAATCTGTCTAATTCAAATCCATCTGTTTTGATAATATATTGAATATATAGCAATCGTCTGGAGGAACTGCTAAATTTTTCGAATCCACCCAGACCAAAAAATATATGAAACAAATTCCGAAAACAAATCGGTTCAACATAATAAATATGACAAAACAAAATTCTTTAATAAATGAATGCATCCACAATGAAACAATGGAATGCACATTTCTAGCAATGTGCCATCTTAAGAGATGCCAGCTTACAAAAAAGCAATGGACAGGCTCATAAAAATTGGTTGTCAAAGTCACTGAAGCTAACTCCTTACTTTTGTTTCATACCAATAGTATTGTGTGAGGGTAACGGGGTGGACAGGCCTAGCTCTCATCAACAGGAGTTGATTTGCATAAAGTAACTCCATAGACTTGTGTACTCCTAAATTCCTGCATTTATGTCCTGCTGGCAGTTTAGGTGCTTTAAGGTGATGACAGGTTTGCTTTAAATATCTTCTTTTCTAACGATCTCCTGAAAATGTTTGAGATTTACTCATGATTAATACATAAGAAGTCTTCTACATAATGTTATAGAAGGGATGTACATCATACTTAGCATCCTTTAAATAGTGAACATAAGAACTCTGTTTATGTTTTCCATTAAATAAGGAAAATAATTGTATGTGTGCTGCTGCTCCAGATGGGATAAGGTGTAAAGGCGCAAGGAAGGTCCCAGCTGATAGCAAATGAAGGCCACACATAAAATAAAGGAACACAAAGACTCCGAGATATTCAAGGCTATGAAGAACCTTGAGTCGAGCAGGATTCTGCCATACACAATTTAATAGACAATACATTCTGCTTCAATGCCTTTCCCCCCCTTTCTTTCAAAGCAATATTATCACAAGTGTCCATATGACAAATGAGCCCATTGTGTTATCTGCGTATAGGTCTCCATTGCTGGCGCTTTTGTCCCCAGCATGGTCGGTATCACTGTAATTCAAATGAACCAATTAATGGCCAACAAAATGGCTGTCCTGTGCCTCCATGTTTTGTAACACGGAGGGCAGCATCCTAAGTCACGTAGAGAATGAATGTACTTTGTAGGCCACTGCTAGGGCGTGATTAGCCTAACTGCAGAAGACAATTGCTAAGGCATCTGCTTGGTTAATTTTGAGAGAAAATTTACCAGATGGAGGCTGAGGATTTAAGTGATTAGAAGGTAGTAGATTGGAATACAAATTGGATTAAAAGAAATTAGATTGATATAAATCGAATTGAGTCACAACAGTTTGTGTTGTTTCATACCAAGGGCCAGTGGATTATGGAAGAGGCAGATGCTACAATGAGATAGGAATTAATGTGGCTTTGACAGTCCATCTGGGAAGGGCTGAATATCGAGTATGTCCCTAATCTCTCTCTCCATTTATCAATGCCATAATGTTAATTAGGACTTCATTCATTAAGTTACTTACAGAGGAAAAAATATCTTCCTTGGTATCACTGTGCTTGAGAATCTCTTCCTGTGCCAAGAAACGAAGATCCCTCTTTAGTTGAGCTTGCTATAGTCGATTGCTGTTATGGAGATCTGTCGTAGCTTGTGACAACAATGGGAAATCTATGGCCTTTTGTTTGGCTGTATATCTGCTATCATAAATTGTTTGGACTTGACAGCTCACCTTGATCTCTAAATCACATTATACTAGCAGTACAAACACTAACTGGGGTATAGCTGTTTTATAGAAGCTGGAAATCCATCACCAACATTTCCTATAGGCTTTAACATGTTAATGCCATTTCAAATATCAACTTTTGAACTCTACTGCTTTCAGTAAGATAAAACATGGTGATCCTGCCATGATGACCCTTGTCCAGGCACTTCCTGTTAGGAAGCAACAACACTCTGTAACTGCCTCCCAATTGTGTTTAGTTTTTGCAGACAGCCAGTAAGGTTACAGCCCTCTGAAAGGTGAACTGCAGTTTTTCAGAGGGCTGTATAGCAGCAGCTAGTAGGCATTCAGAAAGCTCTACTTCTGTCTCTCCTGATGTCTGCTTTCCTTTTTTCTTTTTTTTTTTCCTTTATTTTTAAATTGACAGGCATTTGGCTCAGGGTTGTGGTGTGGCCCATTGTGGGTGAGTTTGACCTGGAGTGCTTCCTGTCAAACTCTGCAGACTGAGTTATAAATACTGCAGCCATGGTATGTGTACAGCCTTGTCAGGTTGTAATGTTAGGATTTGGGTTGGTGGATGGAGGGAGGTAAAACCACAACTCATCCACCTGTTTTTACCATCCTCTGTTCACCCTTGTCATCCTGTCACATGGGCTTCTGAAAAAAACTATATGCAACTTTTTCAACACACGTTATGCAGGTATGGTTCTTTTTTTGAAAATCCATCTTGAAAAATGCCAAGCGGCAGTTGCCGGTATGTAGACAAGTGGCTGCAAATGGCTGCAGATTAACAGTGCTAATATACAACAAAGGATGAAAAAGAAGGTGAAAATGATTGGGGGTGGTAAAAAGTATGTGGATAATCTGTGTTTTTGCCACCCACAACCTGCTGCTACCTAAGTTGCAAAGGTAGTGGATGGACTGTACACACTCTGGGGTGTAATGGTTTGCATTGAGGCGCTGCAAAAATTAATGCCATTTTCAAGCTGAATAGAGTGCAATGTATGTGACTGTGGTAAAGTAGAGGTTTTAGAGGACAGAATAGGCAGCAAAGGGAGGACATAATGCCTCCTTATCCCCTGTCAAACACCCTCTGAAAAGCGAACCACCACAGATTGCTCTTCAGATAGCAATGCTAGTGTGAATTAGCCTTAGGGTGGCCATGGACATGCATATATAAATGTACAGATTTTAATCGGCTTGCACATCTTCAGAACCCAGTACAGTTTTGTTACAAATGTGGGCTGCTAACACCGTATGTGAAGCAAGATTCTCCCTTCTTTATAGAAAATGGAGCAGTTGAATATTCATTGCAAAGAGATTTTTCCCCATGTTGGAAGTCTCTTGATGTGGTAATGAAGATTTCCTAGGAGGAGAAGCACTCACTTGTCTTATTGCATCAATCGCATTATTTAGATATTTTAGATATTTTAAAGTGTTACTAAACCCACAACAGTAAAATCAGTCTGTATATGCAGTAAAGTATGCTTGTTATACTCACTGTAGAACCAGTGGGGTTAATTCTCTTCATTGTGTAAATACGCTGTTTGATCCCGACTTCTCTGATCCTCCCCTTTCTCCAGTGTACCCCCTCTTATCTCCTGATAAGACATATCGTATGGAGACACTCTGCACATGCTCAATTTGGTATGTGTTGCTAGAGAGATTTGTTTTTCTCATGGGAGAGTGCATGTCATCGGCACAGGTCCATTCAGTGCTGTCCAGATAGAGGTCAGGGGTCCTGCATCTTCCTAGAGCAGAATGAAAACTCCTCCTACAAGCTTTAACCAGTGCTGTGCTGGACACTGATAGAAGTCACAAGACTGCTATATACTGCTGATGAGAAAAGGTATTTAGCAGTTTATAGTTACTAAAATAATTGCATTTCCGTGTTGTGTGTACTGTGGGAGACCAGATATAGTGACTGCAGGGCAGGGGCAGACTGACCATTTGGAAACTCGGGCACTGCCCGAGGGCCCGGGGTCAGTAGGGGGCCCCATGAGTTGCCCCTGGTACCTTTTTCATAGGCTTTTTTGAGTTTGGGCAAGGACACAGGGGCCCCATGATCCTCTATTGCCTGGGGGCCCCATGAGCTGTCAGTCCGCCCCTGATGCAGATTCCTGGGTTCAGTAACACTTTAAGGCTATTCTTACTGTATATACTCCTCAATAACTTCTTAACATTTGTTCAAAAACTTACTGAATTTTAGAATAGTTTTAAAAGAAACTTTATTAAGCACCAATTGCATCAAAATTGGCCTCATGTTCAGAGGTGAAACTGATAGCTAACATCTATTTGGTTGTTGTGGGCTATACCCCCTTCCATATTTAATATAACCTTGACGCAAAATACCAGTGTGAAAAGTCCCGGATAGAAGCTTCCCTTCTCTGACTCCTGGGCTGTGTATTAGTTCTTTAAATGTGATTAAGAGCATTCTAACACTGAAAGCTGCTGTTTTCGGACTCCCTATGAGTTTTACTCCCTGCTTGGCATTATTGATGATATTGTCCATTTATCACATCTCTGTCACAGATAAACTCACCACCTGCTGACTTCACATGACCACACTGGCTCTTCTCACAATCACTTTTAATAACCTGCGTATGGTTTTCAGTATAATCAATTAGAGGGTAGGTCAGGCTTCCATATGAGATAAGGATTAGTGCAGTGATGTAATGCACTCTCTGAATAGCTGTGCTCCAGGAGACGATGGCTTGTGTCACAGCCACAACTTCTAATATTAGTGGTAGTTCCTAAACGGTATTAGTGGAAAAAATTAAACCTCAAATATGGTTTTATCTGGAGCTACTAGTTTCATTAAAAACGGAGCTGTGAGTGCCAGAGACCACTTCTTGTTACTTAATGAAAGGATATAGATCATAAGTAGTTGGGTAGAACTTATTTTTAAATCTATACTGGACAAGGGTGCTTTTTCCTATGCACCATCTGGCCAGTTGATGAATCTAAAATACATAACCTTTATTCAAATATATAAAAAAAAATGCTCAGCTGTAATTAGAGAGGCATGTACTGCACACAAACATATGACTGGATACCATTGCAATCATTTACCTTACATCCAAATGGTTAATAACACCAAACCAAATCAAATACCATACCGTTTTAGATGAAGTGATGACATAAAAAGAGACACTGTAGTTTGATCATACTGTATGATTATCAGCTTGAATATATAATCTCTATTAAGGAAATGGAGTTATCCCATGGACAAAACTAATCAGATAGTATAATCTATCTTGCTACAGATATCAATGATAAATAAATATGCCATAAATAAATAAATAGATAACCCCCACCATATGAAAAATAAATGTAAATATAATAAAAATCAAAGTCCAAAATTATTGAAGTCCAAAAATAATAAACCCCACAAATGTCCCTCAAAGTATAATAAAGGTGATTTCCACAAAAGTGTCCAAATGTCAGAGCCTCCCAACGGCTTCCACGACCAGTGTCACCTCATAAAAAGAAAAAAATCATACATAGTGCATTATCCTTTAATACATAATTCTACAAAACAATGTGTGAATTCCCTCACCTGTGTAACACACACGTGACCCCTTTTCAGTGAAAATAAGTGTAAAAACGTGTTCGTGAACCACTCAAAAGTGCCACAAAAACAAGCAAAAACCAGTGTGCACTTCTAATTCAAGTAATTCAAGTAAGGAGTGAATACCCTTAGCAAAACTCAATATCAGTCTCACCTCATTGCCATCCAGATATACCGCGATAATAAGACAGCCCTCCTGGAGAGATCGTCAAGGCTACCATACTCCCCCAATATCACCTGGATCCATCAGCATAAGTATTCCATGCACCTCCTCACACCAGGCTCCACCAAGATGCCAATATATGAGGAATAAGATAGTATAATATCGCCAAAAACACCATATAAATAACTTTATTTATGTGCTCACATTGTCACAGCCTTTAAAATCGCTTTCAAATTTGGTATTCTAAACCTCTCTACCGTCCAGAGACCGTCCAAGATATTTGGCATGCTTCTTGCCACTTTCCAAAATGGCCGCTACTCCACTTCCGGTTCCCGTGTGTGTCTGGCATCACTTCCCTTGACATGTTTCATCATCGGACTTATTTATAAGGGATACGTGATGTTGAATATCTGCCCTTATTGATTTGAGTATGTACCTATGATACGCATGCCTTGCTGGTCATCCACTTTTATGGTTTTCTGACCCAACATGGATTCTCACGGAACCCTTTTCACTTTCTCATAGGATTTAATCAAATCAATCTTATGATAGCCACATCTCATAAATCTGTCAAACAATTTTTGACTCTCCATTTGAAATGCCCCTTCCGTTAAGCAATTTCTCTTTGCTCTCATAAATTGACCAGTGGGGATTCCTCTTTTCAAGGCTGTTGGGTGTGAATTTGTGTAACCAGCTATTCGTGGAGGTCAGTTTTTGATAGATTGTTGTATTAATATTGCCGCCTTCACCCCTTTTGATCTCCAAGTCCAAAAAATGTATGCTATCATATTTCATTTCACTCGTGAAGTACATCCCGATATTGTTTTGATTTAAGGTGGCTACAAATTCTATGAACAGATCCTTTTGACTCTGCCATAATATGAACACATCATCAATTAATCTTACCCACATAAGAATGTGTGATGTAAAACATTCTAATTATTCTACAAAGACCATAGTACACTCCCACCATCCAAGAAAGATATTTGCATACGTAGGTGCGCACAATGAACCCATCGCAGTTCCTCTGGACTGTCTATATACTTTACCATCAAATAGGAAAAAATTGTGTTCCAATACAAACTGCAAAGTTGGAGAGTGAATGTGGTATGGTTCTCAAATAATTTGCCTGTAGTTTCTGGAAATAATTTACAAGCTGTTTGACCCAAGTCATGACTGATATTACTAGCTAGCCACACATCATCTTCCATTGTAATAGCTATTAGTCTGTTTACAAAGTCTCGTGTATCTTCGATATATGAAGGTAAACTATATTCAAATGGACGCATGATATAATCTAGATAGTTGCTTGCTCCTTCTGTAAGATTGTTATTGCCTGAGATGATAGGGTGGCCAAGAGGTTTTTCTTTATGTTTGTGTACCTTAGGTAAGGCATAAAAAGTCACAATAATTGGATGTGCATTCATAATAAAGGCACCTTCATCTTTGGAGAGTATCCCCTCTTCAACAGCCTTTTTCAAAATAGAGTTCAACTCACTCAAGTTTTTGGGGGTTGGATCATTCTGAAGTATTTCATAGTTATTCACATTGCTTAATAACTCACAACACATTTTCAAATAAAATGCTCTGTCCATCAAGACTATATTTCCCCCTTTGTCGGCTGTTTTTATAACTACTTCTTTATTACTGTGCAGATCTTCCAATGCCTTCCATTCAGAATAAGTCTTATTATATGACTTATTTTTCCTCTGCCTTCTGAACCAAAAATCATTCAAATCTCTCTCAACCAATTTTACTATCAGTTGGATGCTGCTTCCCTGAGGGATAGGCAGGGTATAGTTATTCCTTAGTTTGAATGTGGAAAATGGACCCCGTATTTCAGTATCCCCACTGTTGTTTACAGCTTGTAATGATTCCAATACACTCAGGGCTTCCATATCTCTAGATGCCAAACCCATCAGAGTATTAGATGGTTTGTTCTTATATTCCTTCTTCAAAGCCAGTTTCCTGGCAAACAAATGTAGAATTTTTTTTTTCTTATTAAATTCCACTTATTCCACTATATGCCACATATTGAGATTTCTGTGCCAGAATTTTAGTTTTAATTTTCTAGTTAATATGACTTTTCCATAGTCAACATAGTAAGTAATAAGTGCACCATAGGTTTTTCAACAGCAAAATGTAGGAATTTCCTGAAGTCAGTGTCTGTTGGGGTTTCGGCCAGACTAGCCAGTAAGGTGTGTGCTGTCCTTTACTAACCTTCTGTGGAAGATTTGTTTTTTATTATGGGAACACACAGCAGTATATACACCCTACTCTAAGCTACACTACTGATAATCCTACCATATTGGAATGGTGTTCAAGAGTTGAAGACCACAATACTGCCTGGCCATGGAGCAGAGTGGGCTTTGTTTGTATCCACTCTGCAGAAACTTAGCAGACATAAATGTGTCATTCTCCTGCTCTGCTCCGATCAGTAGGGGATCTGTTTGCTGACAACCTACTGATCACATCACAATAAGCTCCTTCTGAAAGGGGCCTCAGGGATGTGACTTATATAGTAGTACTATGCAATGTTCATATTTAAATGTTGTCAACCTTTTAGCTACAGTAACCCAATCTACAAAATGCACATTTAGTGAATTTTACTCATATAAAGAGAATTGGATCAGTTCTGGAAGAAAAGAGTCATGTCAGATCAGATGGATCAGGTGAGTAAGAGGAACTAAGAGAGTTTTGGGGAGATTTGTACATCATCCCAGGGTGAAAGGAGTAAAAATGAAGGGGGAGCCACCTTCAATTTTAGGATGATATGGCTGCAGATGTGCTGTGTGAGCACAGGGACACATTTTAATATAATTTCCATGGACACTTTTCTGCTGAGTTGCTGTTCTTAAACCCATTATTATTGATATTCTCTCAGAGGACCACAGAGAAATCATTATCCAGTTATGACATGTTTATTAAATTGGCCTATAACTACATTTTCCATTTTAAATTCTGCTTGTCAATACATACTAATATAAAATTCCCAGGGAACTTTCACAGATTGTATCATTGAATGTATAATGTGAAAAAAGGAGGGGTTTCAAGGTTGAGCTGGCCTTTATTAAAAAACAGGGATATTTCCAGGAATATGCCATGCACATCAGATTCACAGGGCATGACAATCACATAGCACTTCCTGTCCATGGTAACCAGTTCCTTTCTCTTATGTTTATAATGCAGAATGAAATTGTGAAAGGAAAACAAAACTGTTAGCACAAGCCACCAAATTTGTTCTTTCCTTAGACGCTTAATGGCCTACTGGAATGGAGAGTT